CAAATCAATATGATTGCTATTTACAATATAAATACATTAATGTAGCTATATTACTCATCTATAATTGATTGATCCTATGCCCCCAGCTGACTTCCTGCCCTTTGGGCAGGGGGCTGGACTCGATGATCTTCCAAGGTCCCTTCCAGCCCTAATGTCTATGAAATCTATGAAATCTATGATTGAGTAGAAAATTCTGGTTTATTTTTGGTGAAAATAGGGTATTGGGCCGTGGTTCAGGAACCAATTCCCCATTTATAACATTGTTTCCTATGGGAAAATCAGTTCCGAGTTGCAACATTTCGACTTAAGACGCGCTTTTCAGGAACCAATTGTGTCATAAGTCCCAGGACTGTCTGTAATGCCCTCCAATGCCAAACTTTGCACTGGCAGCATCACTGGTATAACAAAGCTAAAAGGAGCCATCAGAAGCGCAAGGGTGTGCACGTGCTCTGGCAGTGTTGTCTGCTGACAGAGGCAGCACAGTAAAGGTGTAGCCTCAGATATTTTTCTGCATTCTACTAAGACTCCTCATCTTCTTACTGACAGATGAAATCTCTCTCTCTCTGGCGTGTGTACACACCCACCCGCACACTCCCTAATTCTCTTCCACTATATTATATGGAACCCTATTAGCAATTCTTGGCAACAGCAAGAGGATTCATCTTGTGCCCCCGTTATCATCATTACAAACACCTACACAGAAAAGCTTTCTTAAACATTTCTAGGCTTCTTGGAAAACATGCTTTCAGTCTCCCTGTCATACTTAACACAACCTGTAGACTTGCTGGAGCAGGTCATTTTTGCTTTTTTGTCTCTTGTACCTGGCACAAGCACATCCTAATTCTTAAGTAGAGCTTCTAGGTGCTAGTGTAGTACAGATAAGCTAGACATGATATCCCATTGCATATGTGGATTTTCCAAATTGACAAGTCCTTCTTTTCCTCACTTGATACCAACTCAGCAAGAGGATCTATTCCAAATGTCTGTGAAAGATATATTCCTATTACAAACAATCAGTTTAGAGCATTGTAACCCAGGAATACATACCCAGAATCTCTCTCATCGGAGGATTCCAATTCAGCATCTACAATTAATTCCTGGGTAAAACAGTATACAACATCTTAAATATGGGAACCCATTTTTAAAAATGAATGTATATTGTAAGTATAGTAGAACCAGATGTTCACTGCTTTGCAGAGATTTGCACCTGTTACAAGATTAAATTCGTCTCTGGATACAGCCACACCAGTTCTGTGTGCACATTGAATGGGAGGGAGCTGGTACCTTAGATAGCTTACATCTAAAATTAGAGATGGAGAAGGATCACAGTTCACCTTTCTCATGCCATGACTAAGCTGATCCCAGCCCACCTTAACTGCCAGGTCAAGTTCCTGCTGCCAATCTTCAGGCAGATAAGACTTCTGGGTAATGGACGCAACTATGTTTTTAAATGGCAAAGTAAGAAGATTTGCAAATGTGCTTTCCTGAGACAATAACTTCTTATATACCTGTACAGTTCATACTACAATGGGACCCTGATCCCAGCTGGGACCTAGAGACAATATTGCGATGCCAACAGAAAAAAACTTGATAAGGAGTTTTAGTGAATAGAACTAGACCGACACTCAATCTTTTGGTCCCACAGGCCAGATGAGTGGCGTCAGGTGGTCAGTAGACTGGATTGGACCCTGTGTTGCCCCTACACGTTGGGATTGGGCCCCGGGGCTATGCACCACCTCCACTCAGCTTTGCACACTTGAGACTGGGGCCTTGTGCCACCTCTACATACTGGGATTGGGGAGACAGGTCCCCATGTGCTTCTGCTTGGCTCCACACACTGTGACAGGGATTTGGGGTGCCCCACAGGCTGAATTATATGGGCTGATGCCTGGATCTGGCCCATGGCTAGAGGTTGAGAACCCTTGAACTAGATTTATATTTCATTATCCTTTGTTTCCCTGCAGAACTCTCATTGGTATCATTCAGAATTCAGCAGTAGGTCTGGGAAAACATGTGTCCATGCATGTCAGAACCCGACCTACTCAATCAGGAACCAGACTAGCCTGGTGGTTTATTATCTCTCAGCTAAGAATTTTTATGACACGCAGCAATAGCTCCCAAACCAATTCATAGAGAAGACATACAGGCAAAATTGTTATGTGGCATCTTGCTGTCCATCATCCCAGAGGAAATTCATCCGTGCCTTGATGGGCCACTTCAAGTGCCATTTTGGGGCTGCAGCACAGCTGTAGGTGGAATGACCACATCTGGTTTCTTATATAGACAAACAAAGAAGGCATTGAATGTGGACTAGCCAGAACAGGATAGGTAGCCATGCTGATGGGAATCCATTGACCTTGAACACTCCACATTCATAAGTGGAACACTAGACAATGCATCTTTGGGCCAGCATGAAAGCTGTAAACTGCAAGGAGCTGTAAACTGAAGGAGGTATGCTTCTAGCTTCGGGGTGTGGATTTTTATCTCCCTAGAATGCCTACAGATGTCCTACAGAGCCTAATTGTTTTGGCTTCCAGCTGAACAGTGGATCTGAACACAGTCACACTTCTCAACCCCCAGCATTAGAAAGTCTTTCATATTATCTTAGCAGCCCAGGCTTACGTGCAGACTTCCATTTTCACTGCTATTGTTACTTAAGGTAGCTAGATTAAAACAAGTACTCTCACCCACATGACACTGACTTCTCCAAATTCCATGTGGATGTACCCTAAAGGTGAGTGGAAGGGATTACTTTGAGTGCAATTAACATCTTAGCCATGAGGCTTTCCCTGCTACCTTCTGACATCCTGGGATATTTTCCAACAAAAGCTGTGGAGGAGGGAATGGGGGAGTGCTTTCATTGGTAATAACTTCTCTTTTTGAGGAGTGATGCCACTGAGGTTATGTCAGAATGGGGGAGTGCTTTCATTGGTAATAACTTCTCTTTTTGAGGAGTGACACCACCGAGGTTATGTCTAGGTCAGCGTTTCTCAACCCATGGGTCACAACCCAAAAGTGGGTCACAAACAAATTTTAAAGGATTGTTTCAACAAACTTTAAAAATGTATTCTCCTTTAAATGAGAACGATGTGGGAAACCATGGGTTTCTCCTTGCAGCCTGGCAGAGTTCCAGCCTGGAAGGGGCTGAGGGGAGCAGGAACAGGGTGATCAGGCAGGGGGCACCATGCGCAGGTGCACATACACACATGCACATAGCAGCCAACCAGTGTGGAGAGCAGCTCCCCACAGGTAAGTCTAGTGGGGCATAGATGACGTGTTGGGGTCAGGGGGCACAGGCGACACTGCCTGCCACTCCACCTTCTCTCTGGGGTGGAGCCATGGCTTGTGGGGAGCGGCAGTGCAGTTGGGCCATAACAGTAGGGTAGAGCCACAGCCCGGTGCATGAGCGGCTGGGGGCAGGAGAAGGTGAAGGCAGTGCAGGCCTGCTTCCGATCTATGACTCCTCACACTGGTAGCAGCGTGGATGGTGTGTAGTTCTGGTGGCAGTGGCAGTAATGAGTCTCGCCGCCCCATTCTGCCCTCCTGTATCAAGTCCTGCCCACTGGGTTGCGGAGGCTGCTGCATCCACTGGGCTGCAGCTCCGTGTCCACTGAGTGCACAAATCTGGGGGGTCATGTACCCCCCTATGCCCCCCCCCACACATTCATCCCCTGCCCCACACACTGGTGGGGCCTTGTGCCTGGGGGTGGTGGGCAGTGGGTGGGGAGTGAGGGGCACCAGCAGGGCTGGGGCTGGGGAGGTTGGGATTGAGGGGCACTGGCAGGGTCAGGGGTCTGTGTGTCGGGGCTGGACATCAATGTTTACAAATGGGCCCTGGTACAAAAAACATTGAGAACCACTGGTTTCGGTGACTAGTGAAGAGAATCATGATCATAAAGCAAGATCTTTTCTTTATGAATTTTTGGGAAGCAAGGAAAATAAAGAAGGATGCTCAGAGTCCTGACGGGCATTGGTGACGCATAAGGGGTACACGCGGGTGCACGCGACCCCCTGAGATTGACCACCGCCAACATTGCCGCTCGTGTCTGCAGGCGGTCACTGGCAGTGGTGTCTGCGGGCGGTTGCCGCTTGCTACCCCCCATTGCTGCTGACACCGCACGGCCACCTGCTGGCAGTCCCTGCTCGGCCAGCCCTTGCTGCCAACGTCACCACGGCCACCTGCAGGTGGTCCTCGCTGGCTGCCGCCATGCCCCTGCCACCGACACCGCTGCCTGCGGGCGGTCGCTGCGCCCCCCCAGCCTCTGGAGGCACAAGGCGTTCGTGCTGACAGGGATCCGAAGACCTGTGGGGGGAGAATTATACTATGAGGGGAACGGATCATGACCTAAAACAGTGTGAATTAATACCCATTGTTAGTTAATATTCTCCTCCTATTCCCTCTCTTCACAGAAGGGAAAACAAACCTCCCCCAAAACAAACAAAACCAAGATTTTCTTTCCTAATCCCATCGACTTCAGGGGTGTTGTCTTTACTCAAGAGAAAAGGCTTTATTGGGTTGTTTTTTGGGGGGTTTTTCCCCGCAATATTTTGTGCGGTATTTTTTGCAATACCGTTGTGGGAGTGCTTCTGGCAGCCTCGGGCTATTCATAGCATTCAACACCCGCCTTTTCTTTGCTTTAGCCTGACTGGCGGCGAAACGGAGAAACATCTAAAGGCACCAAAGGCCATGTATTGCCTGGGCCTCTCGGGGAGGCAGACCCGAGCGGCCCGTGACCGGTTTTCCCCCTCCAGGCCGGGGACCACGGGCCGGGTCAGCTCACCCTGCGCCAGGTCTCGTCCGCGCCTCACGCAACTTGAGCGAAGTTTGCAGCGGTCGCTTTTGTTCGGCGCGGAACGCTCAGCCCCGTGACGTCAGCGCGCGCCGGGACCAATGGGAGCCGCTGGAATTAGAACAGGCAAATAGGTGCGGGAGCGGGAAGGGGGGGCGCGGGCTCGTGCCGTGCCTCCGCCCGGCCCCGCTCCCGCCGCCGGGGCTATATCAACCCCCGCGGGCCGGCGCTCGGCCGCTCTCGCCAGGCAGGGAGGAGCGGGGCACGGCACTCCCCGCAGCCACCCCGGGAAAGTTGCAGCGAAGTGCAGAGCCGCTGCTCCGCTTCTGCCCGTCTCTCTCCCCGACCTCTGCAGGATGCCCAGCAGCCCCGCGGAGCAGCGGCTGCTGCTGCTGCTGCTCTTCGCCCTGTGCTTGGGGGCGCGCTGCACGGAGCGCACGGCGGCCAAAAGCAGGAGGCAAGCCCAGCAAGTCGTCCAGCCCCCGGTGCCCGGCACGCAGAGCAAACGTGAGTACCGGGGGAGGGGGCAGGGGACAGTCCCCAAGAGCCCTGCCACAGCTGGCAGGGAGTTGGGAAACACAGAGCAAGGAGCAGCGGTTTCAAGTTGCAGCAAGGGAAGTTTAGGTTGGATATTAGGGAGAATTTGCTCACTAGGCTGGTAATAAAACACTGGAGCAGGTTACCCAGAGAGGTAGTGGATGCTCCATCCTTGGAGGTTTTCAAAACCCAGCTAGACAAAGCCTTGGCTGGTATGATCTAGTTGGGGCTGGTCCTGCTTTGAGCAGGGGGTTGGACTAGATATGACCCTGAGGTCCTTTCCAGCCCCCACTTTCTGTGATCCTATGAAACCCTACTTCAGTCCTGGGAGCAGGTCCTGTAGGAAGAGGGGCTGAAAGGGATCTGGTTTGACTTGCCTGGTCTTGTGGGCGGTTGAAGCCTGCGATGGAGCTCTGCCAAAAGTTTGGTACTCTGATGGGCTTTGCTTGGCTTGCTTGGCAGAGAGAGAGAAGAATGTCTTTCTTCCCCCTCCAAAATGAGCAAGTTGCAGCATCTTTGTAGTGCCGAATAGTCACCTAGCCTGACATTCGTGTAAGGATCTGGCTGCGTGAGTTTTGATGGGCAAAAATGCCACTTCCCAATGAAGACATGGAAGTGGAAGCTGGTTAGAGGCAGCAGGAAGGGAGTTGGCCTGCCGCATGCCTGTAAATTAAAGACAGGCAAGGTTCTTTGGGTAGATGTGACATCTCTTCTTAGACCAACTAGCTGCTCTAATAAAAGCTATCACATCTACCCAAAGAACCTTGCCTGCCTATGCCCTTAGACCAACACGGCTACAACCAACAACCCTGTAAACTAAAGAGCTCTTCAGCTGGGTTAGCATCAGACCCCTTCATCTCAAAACAATATATGTTTGATTACACAGTGCAATGAAAGAGTTAAACACAGTGAAGCAAAAACACTAATGCACTTCTTTTTGCCAGGTTCTTTGGGTAGATGTGATATCTTTTATTAGACCAATTTTCTGCAAGCAGTTATGTTGCGGGGGAAGGAGATGTTTGGTGAAACAATTGCCCTTATCACCTTTCAAACTGGTTGGGAAAATGTAGCCTGATTATCAAGGACAAACTTCCTGGCATTGAAATCCAGTAGGCTGGGAGCTGCTCTCTCAGGGGAAGTGGTGGAGGCCCATTGCTTGCCACGTTAAGAGGCGTACTGACAAAGTTCTTGGCAGCGTTACCTGGGGAACAATTCCGACTAACAGCGATGGACTGGGACTTGCTCCAAAGACCAATGAAGGCAATTGAGGTCTTTCCATAGATTTCATTGGCGCTTTGGATCGGGCCCTGGAGGAGTAGTATTTTCCATCTGTAGATTTGAAGCCTGTTAAATCTCTGCTTCAAAGCCACCCAAGCAGTTTCTGGAGTATTTCATTCAGAGCAGAGTGCCCACAAGGTTTCAAATTCAGTGCTCCATCTTGCTTTCTCTGCAAATCTCAAACTCCAGTTGCCACATTAGGGGCAGGTCCAGGACCTTGGGTATATGCCACTGAATGCTTTAACTCTTTCCCCATTTTGTTTGAGGGTCATGTGCATGGAGACAAATGTAAACTGAAGACTTATGTTTTCATTCCTTCAGAGGGCTGTTTTGACAATGGCCGACACTATCAAATAAACCAGCAATGGGAACGCATTTACCTGGGAAACACACTGGTCTGTACCTGCTATGGGGGATCCAGAGGCTTTAACTGTGAAAGCAAGCCTGAACGTAAGTCTTTAATGATGAATGTGGAATGGATTGTGAGGCCAAGTAAATGAAAAATCAAATGGTATTATAGATGATGGACCAAGTTCACAGTTGGCATAATGTGGCATTAAAGTCAATAATGGATTTATGCTGATTGACAAAGATTTGGCCCTAGGCTTTAACAGATGCTTTTGATTAAAGATGGGCCACTACCAGAATGCTGCACCCAAGCATCAGTCATCTCTAGGGAAGAATGAATCTGAACCTTAATTTTGGAGCCAGCCTCTTCTTTATAATGAGCTGTCCCAGTTCATAATTACCAGGAGGAAAGTTCAGACCTGCAAAGTTTGACTCGGAACTGTCTCTTCTCTACTTTTTCATTTATTGTATCACCTATAACTTTCATCTTTGTTTCAGAGCTTTTTGCTGTCAACATGTTTTTAAAACAAATTTTAAATTTTTATTGATTACGTATTTACTTCCTCCATAATTTGCACTTGAACTTCCCATATGTGTCTGTAAGGCTGGAGTAATTAATACCAGGTTGGAGTAATTAATACCAGTTTATGACCATTCATATCTTCAATGCTGAGGATACACTTCTAGTATCAGCTAAGTGTATGAGGGAACACAAGAGTAAGTTTGGATAACAAGAGATTTTAAGTTTACCAGATGCTGGGCAATGTGACCTGGTTTGGGATAACAGTGAAGTTTGGCTGATCAGATGTTTATCTTTGGCTTGCTATGACTGCTTTGTACTGGTCTGGTGATGCACAGCAGTCATAAACCTATCTTAACTGATAAGATAGTTTATTGCTGTCTTTTGGCACGAACCATCCGGAGCCTACCAGTGACTCCAGCCTTTAATTATGTATGACACAAGGTCTTGGACACTTCTGCCCAAAAATCTATTATAGTGGCAGAGTACTTTTGACAAGTAACTCTTCTCCCTTCCAAACAGGACAAAAAAACAGACCTCACTTCTCTTAACCTATTACCATTGAACTGTTAAGGTCTCCTGTGGACCATCTAGACATCATAGTGAGAAATCAACAGAATTAGTTTTCTACAGAAAGGAATTCTGAACTTGGTGGGAACACAGTCATATAACTGTCTTGCAAACATTTAATGAGAGTTCTTCACACTCCTGCACATAATCTTACTGACTTTAGTGAGACTGTTCCTGATATTTAGGACCATGTACATCAGGGGTGGGCAATTATTTTGGGTGGAGGGCTGCTTACTGAGTTTTGGCAAGCCATTGAGGGCTGCATGGCAGGCAGCCAGGGGCAGATAAATATTAATTTTCTAAATTTTGGGGGACTCCGTGGGCCAGATAGAATGGCCTGGTGGGCCACATCTGGCCCACGGGCTGCATTTTTCCCACCCCTGATGTACATGAATAAGTATTTGAGGGCCTTGTTATGTAAAGAAAGTGCTTCATCCTGTAGACATGCTGCCATACAAATGTTTATTCACTAACTAGGCAGAAGATTTGGATCACTGCATCTCTGTAAATACAACTACAATAGAAAGTCAATTATTCAGAATAATTAGTGTCATCATCCTTCTGGATAATCGTTTTTTTCTGGATAATTATCATCATATATATGTTACTGTACTGTGTAGCACATTAAAAACAACAGGAAATAAATATATAGTTCTGCATGAAGTTTAAAAATGTCAACAACGCTGACAAACAAAACCCAACTAGGGGTTTCATAATACAAAACCATCTGGTTAATTGACTTTTTGGATAATTGACTCTACAATAGTTCTTTTACCAGCTCACCCACAACAGTTTCCTCCATGTTCAGGGCTGGTATGGATCCTTCCCCTACAGTTAAAGCATCAGAAACCCTAGTGTACAGTTACCCCTATTTGCACTTCCCATATTCACAGTGGGGCAGTGCTGATCTTCAGTTATATAGAAGACCTTGCGTGAGGTCTCAGTGCTTGGATATATTTCACTCTTATGCGGCTGTCCTTCAAAGAAAAGTAAATAGATCTGAATTTTCTTACTCACAGGCGAAGGCTTAGTGAGAAGGAGGGAGGGGAATTGTGGTTTGAGTTTCAATCTGAATGCTAAAGACTGTACATTGCTGTCATGATCACATGGAATCTATTCCAACCTCCTCAGCTGAAGAAACTTGCTTTGACAAATACACTGGATCTACTTACCGAGTAGGGGAGACTTATGAGCGCCCCAAGGATTCCATGATCTGGGACTGTACTTGCATTGGAGCTGGACGTGGAAGAATCAGCTGCACTATCGCAAGTATGTTAGAAATCCTACTACTAGAAGCATTATTTTCTAGTATTATGCATTTTTCAGAGATCTGCATTATACTCAAGTGAAACAGTCAGTATGCATTTTATTTATGAGTATGGGGAGTGATCCCAAAAGCCAAAAGTGCCACTATGAATTTTTCCATTGAAAATGCCGGTTTTATTCACATGAATACAACTGTAAAAGGAATACAAAGTAAAAGGAATTATGCCATGGGCAAGGCTAGCAGGATTTGGTCTTTTATTTAAAAAGAAATGTATTGTTCTGTCTTATTAAAATAGGCCAACATTGGAATAATTTGATTAGTGTCCTGGCACATGCTTTTAGGACTAGTTTAAAATATTTCAGCTGCTCTATAATTATTACAGGTCATTGAGATTCGTCAGATTTTGATGGTAACAAAAAGAAGGGTCTTGCTTTAAAAAGAGGGCCAGATCCCCAAGTGGTGAAAGTCAGCCTGGTGCCATATTCGTGGATCTACAGCAGCTGAGGGCCTACCCTTTAAGAAGTTCCATAGGCCTCCATAGCAACAAACAAGCTACAATTTTGCATAAGAGATTCAGGAGAAACTTGCATGGGCCATTATCAACATACTTCTACAATTCTTTATTCACTACTGCTTCATCTTCTTAGCTAGTCTGTTTCTTCACAATCACTTCCTTTCAACTCTAGGAGGCTTTTTAAGCCTTTCCATTTAGAAATCCTTTTGGAATTATTGGAGACTGTCTGTCACCACTTCCCTACCTCTTTGTTTAATGAGAAGACTTATCTTGACTGAACAGCCTCTGGTACCATACACTAAAAGCATGATGTTGGTACGTTTAGACCAACATTTTCCAGTCCCTTACACATCTTTAACAAGTCTCCTCTTCATTGTTTTTTCTGATAGAAAAGCCAGTTTAGTTTGGTTTGCTGTTCAAAGCTCCTAATACTGGATATTTCAAACAGGACATCAGAAGTGATACTTCAAGAGAAATGCACAAGGCCAGAATCTAACAGAGACAGGCCAAATTCAACAGTGAATTCAGAGGGGGTATATTAAACATAATTTGAATTGCAGTTACCCTGGAAGCAGTAAGATGGGATGTTTGAAATGCTAGTTGTTTTCAAATTTAGTAAAGTATTGCTAGATTCTTGTTTTAAATTTCCCCATCATTGACCTGATTCAGAGGCCTCAATAGATGGACTTCTGTTAACCTCAGGTCATTGCATTAGGCTCAGTACCTTTGCTACTACTCGGATTATTTTAGGAAGTAGGCAAAATCAGTGGTTTCTAACTTTGATCAATGTTGGAATCTTCATCCTTTGATTTATCTTAAGACCCTGCCATTCACTGCTTCAATTACTGGTCTTTCTGTAAATGCTGACTAGTGGATACAAAATGTGTGAGGCTGACTTGCTGTTATTACTAGGCCATGTGATGATAACCTGGCCTACAGCTTGACAGTGCATTGAATTTGAAATCTAGTGGGAATAAAAACAACAGTGGCTCCTACATCCTGTCCCATCAATTCACTCCCTGCTCTCCATGTTCTGGCCAGCACTCTGATGTCTTCTAGTTCTGACAATAAAACAGTCGTAAAGAAACCATGTCAAAGACTTCTCTAATGTTTTTCCAACACCAAAAAAAAAAAAAAAGAAGAAGAAATAGGGAGGGAGAGAGAGAAATGCTGTTGAACAATATTTTTCCATGGAAATTTCTAAACTGACTGACTTTTACTGTAATTTATGTTCCAGATTTTTCATTTTATTTACATTTGAGCTGAAAATTGCTAAACTTTGGACAAATCTTAAACTGTTTATTTCGTTCAGTTGTTGAAAAATTGATTTAAACAGGATATTTTCTTTAGACATTGCCCATCAACAAACAAACAGTACCTTCCCACCCCCCAAAAGCAGTATGTTTTATTGCAAAAACATAATCCTTAATGATAACCCTGTCACTCACCTTTGCCCAGTAACAGCCTCGTCTCAGTTTCAAGAGGAGCTGCAGTGTATTCCCTTTAACTAGCTATCACCATTCTGCTCTTTGAAGCTGGCTTACAACCCCAGCCATCCAGTGGAGTCTCTTAGATTGTTAGGGGCTGGAAGGAACCTTGTAGACCATCGGGTCTAGTCCCCCTGTACTAGGCATGAAAAGACAACAGGGGTCAAGTGACCCCAGCGAGGTGACTGTCCAGTCTCCTTTTGAAGATTTCCAGGGTAGGTGACTGCACCACCACTGGAGGGAGTTTATTCCACAATCTGGACACCCTGGCAGTAAAGGAGTTTTTCCTGGAATTGAGCCTGAAGCGACCTTCCAGGAGTTTGTGTCCATTGCCCTGGTCTTCCTCAGAGGTGCCCTGGTGAACAGCTGTTCACTGAGTTCTTGTTGTACTCCCCTGATGTAGCAGTAAGCCGTTACCAAGTCCTCTCTCAACCTTCTCTTCTGTAGGCTAAAGAGACCCAAGTCCCTCAGCCTTTCCTCATATGGCTTGTCTTGCAAGTCCCTGATGATACAGGTGGCTCTTCTCTGGACCCTCTCAAGTTTTACCAAATCCTTGTTGAAGTGCATCACCCAGAACTGGACGCAGTACTTCAGCTGTGGTCTCACCAGTGCAGAGTACAGTGGACGTATCACTTCCTTAGTTTTGCATGAGATGCAATGGTTAATGCATGCCAGCGTGTCGTTTGCCATGCTGGCCATAGCATCGCACTGCCAGCTCATGTTCATGCGATGGTCGATCACTACCCCTAGGTTCCCTTTCAGCCACGGTACAAGTCAAATTGTCTCCACCTAGCCTTGAGGTATGTGGGGGATTGTTTGCCCCCAGATGGAGCATCTTACATTTCTGAGTGTTGAACTTCATCTGGCTTTGGCCCACCCAATTCTCCAGCCTGTCCAGGTCTACCTGTATCTGTGACCTAACTTCTGGCATGGCCACGCTCTCCCATAACTTGGTGTCATCCGCAAACTTGGTCAGCGAGCTTTTCGTCCCCACATCCGAATCCTTTATAAAGATGTTGAAAAGCACCAGTCCAAGCACGGACCTCTGAGGGACACCACTGGCCACTTCTTGCCAGGACAACACAGATCCATTCATGAGAACTCTCTGGGTCCTACCATACAGCCAGTTTTCCACCCACTGAACTTTTGAGCAGTTAAGGCAAAGCCCACAATCTTCCAATTTTCCCACAAGGATATCATGGGATACTAGATCAAAAGCTTTTTGGAAGTTAGGTATACAACATCTACCATGTCTCCTGTGTCCAGGTGGCGAGAGACCTGGTCGTAGAAGGAGATAAGATTGGTAAAACAAGACCTACCCACGACACAGCCATGTTGGCTGTCATTCACAATCTTACCTTCAATGAGCGCATCACACAGATTCTTTAATGAGTTTTTTCAGGATTTTCCCTGGGATGGAGGTTAGGCTGATTGCCCTATATTTGCCCAGGTCCTCCCTCTTCTCCTTCTTGAAGATGGGCACAATGTTGGCCCTCTTCCAATCTTCAGGGATTTCCCCAGTGCACCACCATTTCTGAAAGAGCTTTGCCAGGGCTTCTACGATGACCTCAGCCAGCTCTTTCAGCACTCTTGGATGGAGTCCATCTGGCCCTGCTGACTTATAAATGTCTAGCTTTTCTAGTCGGTTTTGAACCAGCTCAGCATCCACAGTGGGAAGGCTGTCCCACCATGCCCCCTGTGATCCTTATCACACTTGTCTTTCCCCTTGGTCCGGTGAAATACCAAAGCAAAGTGGGCATTCAGGAGTTCAGTTTTTTTCTGAGTGTCCATTACCAGCTGCCCCGAGGTGTTAAGCAGGGGCCCCACACTTCCATTTGTTTTCCTTCTGCTCCCATCATACCTAAAGAAGGACTTCTTATTGTCCTTGACTCCCTTGGCTAACTTAAACTCG